AAAAAAAAAAAAAAAAAAAACTGAAATTTTTTCAGCTAGAACGAATAAAAATTAGAGAAGGGAAAAAGCATCAATTTAGTTGCAACATTTACTACCTGTGTTATCCATCTGCACATACTTTCCGGTATAGAATTTCGCATACATCGTTCCATGTCCTCAACTTTTTGAGGTCGAGCTTCAAGAATCTCATACAGTATACGCATAAGCAGATCTTGAATAAGTTGAACTGCCTCATGCTCAACTCCAATCCCAGGATGAACATGGTTACACACCTATAACGAGTTTTGTTCAAAAACTGCATTTGTGTTTAGGGGGGAGGAAGGCAAGTAAGCCATACAGAAATGTAGAAATTTAAATTAAAAGAAAAAGAGAAGAGCAACCAATTGGCAATAACTGAGATTCATGTGCCGAAAAATGTGTTTATTACCAAAAGCATACCCTGTAAATCCGTTCAACAAAAAGTTCTTGAGCTCTCCATTGCTCAAATTTTTGAGCCCGTAACGAGCGTAACGAAGTAGTTTCCGAACAACTGGGACCACTCATACGACGGCTGCACAGATTCCTCAGACAATATGTCTTTTAACGATGAAAACAACTGCAGGGGAACATTACTCAACACATTGCACGAGATATTGAAAAATAAAATCTCTGTTCCCAACACTGTAAGAAACTACTTTCAGAACCAGAAAAATTTTTTGAATTAAGCTCGAGCAAACGACCAATCAGCAACTGCAGAAGAGTAGCTGTAAACCCAAAGAACACTGAAGAATGAATTTCCTGATTTCACAAAAAAATTGAGATTCTGACAACAACCTAATATATTCTTCATCACTTCGTATTAGACCAAATTCCCCAAAAATTTACAGAGACTCTAATCGACAAAAAGATTTTTCTCAAAAATTAATCAGATAAAAGTATGTCGAGAACTTTTTATTAAATTTTAGCCAGTTAAAATATTATGTTGAATATGATTTGCTAAAATAAATAAAAATTACGAATGCTCAGAAAACAACATATGAAAATTTCCTTCCAAAGTTCTTCAACTGACGAACTAAACTGTACTAAGAGCCCAAGTTAAAATTTTAGAATTTTTTTTTTTCATTTGTAAATTTCTAGGCATAATTGTAAGCACAGCACAAGACATTGTGTAGAGTAACCAACGAGTGTCCAGTCAAATTATATTCAGCAAAACAAATTATATTCTACAACACTGTTGACGTTCAAGGAAAGATGAGGCAACAGGTAGCTAAAAGTGCAAATATTGAAGTCCCGATCAGATCAGATGATAGCAATAACGTTTTTCGTATACCCAACAAAAAAGATCACTCAGATAAGCTCTATTTTTAAACTCAAATAGTTCAGGAACAACTATTAAAAGCTATATGATCTAAAATACAGAGAGCAAAAATTTGAAAAAAAAAAATTCTGGAGTTCATAAAGATTTTCTTTCGAACAACAGTACTCAACGATATTTGTAAGAAACATTTGCTGAACCCGTCGTCGAAATAAACTGCAAAACAGAAGTACCAAAAAAACGACGTAAATTTGCGAAAGAAGAATAACGCTCTTATTAAAATCTTCCAAACACAGATAGTAAAATCGGAAAAATGTACATACAGCTTTGATCTAAATTTAATCCTTCTTCTGGAAACTAATTCACTTTCAAAATTATAAGACTTTGATTGTTTTTATTTTCAACCAAGTTTTCTGAGCGTTCTGCATCTGAATTGTACACAAAATTAAGAAATTCTGGATTCCAAAGAACTTATATTTTCTAGATTCAAACGTATGTCTATTTAATACAAGTTTCAGAGGAAAAAAGTCAAAAAGCATGAGGATAAAGGCTTTATAAAAATGGCAACATTTCAATACATAAAAAAGATTCCGCGCTATAACTTCTGTGAGATCGGGAGTTATACTAGACAGATTAAGTTAAAGATTGCAATCCCAGTACATTTTGGTCAAATAGCCCACTCTGACTGATTTTTCTCTCAATATCTTCGCTGCATTCAAAATCCTTAGCCAAAAAATTGACTTGGACGCTAAACCCTACTAAACCGAGGTGGATTTACACACCTTTTCTTACTTCAAGGCACATAATTCCTGGTCGCACAAAAGATTCAGCCCATAAACTTTTCTCTCTATAAACAAAAAAATACCTCTTTTTAAATTATGAATGCATTTTTCTTCCAATTTTTCTGTAAAATTTGTGCTCTTCTACCTCTCAGTTCTTTCTGAAATGTGTAAAAAAATGCACAAGTAAAAAATTGAGAAACTTTAAACTTTGACGCAGTATGACTTGGCGAAACTGCCCTTTACTGGTTCCTTCCCAGATTTTTCAAACCTGAAGCCCTAAATGATCGGCAAACTTCAAAGAATTCTGAAATATCAGCTGAAAAGGCTAAAAATTGGAGCTGAAAATTCGTCGTAGAACAACCTCATTTTTCTCCTCATCCAAGCTCCCACCATTATTGCAAATAATTTTTATAAATCTGAAAATAAAATATCCCATCAGGGAAATTCAAAAACGCTTCCTGCCATCAAACTTTCCTATGGAAAACCTGTTCTGCCCTATCAAAATGTGCTTTTAAATGACCACGGGTCTTCAAGGTTTTGAATATGTCAATTTCCTAAAGTGTTTGAGCCAAAGGCTGAGGTCGGTTAAACGACGGAACGATTGCAATAAAAATGATAATGATGAAAACTTGCTTTTTCGCCGTATCAGCAATTAAATGAAAAGTAAAACGTCACCCTTCGTAGGCAAAAAAACAGAAATAGTAAAAGTAAATTTTGTCAGCAAAAAAAATTTTTGTTTCTCACAAAAGGCTAGAAACACACATGCACAAAGTACCACTAAAAATATTTGAGCACGCGACACAGCTATTGTATTTACAATAGCACATACTCCATCTGTTCAAAAACCTACAAAGCACTCCAGTAAGTTGAAACCAAAACCCTGATTGCCATTCAAGAGGCGAGTGAGCCATCCGCTACATTTAATACTCAATAAGTCATTTCAAACAGCATAGTTTGTGGAAGACAGAGCCTTGAAGCGCAATTATAACTCACCTAGCAAAAACTAGCAAAAAACCAGCTCTGTGTCTAGAAAACTCCCTGAAATAAAGAGAGGAAATGAAACGATACTCATCAAAGTTTTAAAGGTGGCTTATGCGATACAGAAAAATTCGAACATAAAAAAACGCATTATCTTTTATTCTGAAAAAGTTAGTGCTAGTAAATAATTTAGCAACAAAAACTAACGTAAATATTTAACGCCTAAATGAAAAAACAAAAGGAAAAACAAGAACAATGAGTGGCAAACAAGTAGTTCAAAGACCGGAAAGAGTTACACTTCGTAATCCAGTAAATCTTTGAAGAAAAAAAAAAAAAAACAGTATGAGCAATCTGACGGGTTAATACACTTGAAAACAACAGATAAGAAACAGAATCAATAATAACGCTTTGTAAATTATATTAAGTTCTCGTCCTTCTTCACTGCCAATGAATATAAAAATTTCTTCACTGTTTTCAATAAAACTCACAAAGACGCATAACTTTTCGTTAGTGATCATGATTATTTTGAAAAAAAAAATAACCGATACCCCAAAAAAGAAGCCGTTCGATTTCCTACCGTTTTATAAGCAAAAAATTTAACAAATGAGAGTTAAAAAACATCATAGTTCAACCCAATTGTTTTAAATACGACACCTTTCAACTTATAGTAACGTTGTGCTAAATAACTCTTTACCACGTTCCTATCTCCTGAATTCTTTTTGCATATTCCTGCGTTCAAACTTACCTCCCGGATGACTTAAAAATTGGTAGTAAATCCTTATCGAGAATTTGAGATGGCATTCTTAACCTAGAATCAAATTCCTCAAATATTTTTAGGATTTTGCTTCAACAAAAATTTAGCTTCAATTATACTGAATGTGTCTTTTATGGAAAAGCCTCATGCACCAAAAAGGCAAAAAACATCAAATAAGACAAGTGAACTTTAGTATTAAATCTGTTTCTTCGTCCTTTCAATTCACAAGTCACAAGCAAAACAATTTTTAGAAACCAATCCTCAGGTCACTAAAAAAGGAACTAAATAAGAATTGAATAATTTTCTTTTCTATGAACACTATAACTCCTCTTCACAGACTTACTTTCTGAGAAAACAAAGAAAGGAATAGACCATGGAACAAATGATCGCCTTATCCTTGCAATAAACTGAATTTCTACGTATCACTGACAGTAATGACCAGTAATGACCCGGTAACACCATTCGTGATGTATTTGACCGCTTGACTGCTATTTTCTGATCAATGCTTATCAACCAATTTATTCAGCAAATCCCTGAAAATTATTGCCCTGTAACGAACTGCCAATACATGTAACAACTGCCTTGTAAAGACACACTTTTCTACAGTATAAGTAAAATTATATCAAACGTATTCACTAAATGAGAGGGTTGCACCCTTAAACGTTGTTTTTCTTTTAATTAGTTTTTCTTTAATTGAAAAAACCAAAACCAATCTATAAGGGTTTTTTATGGAGGTCACTAACTACTACTGAATTGGTCTCCTGAAAAAATTTTTTAATTCCGTCATGATAATTTTGACAGAATGATTCTAGGAAAAAACTGTCAAAATTTCGGACTACTGCCTATTTCAAATGCTTATTTCTAATACAATTCAGCTATTGTAAGTAATAC